CTATTAAAATATGGATTATTAGCTAAGATTTTATGCTATTCTAATTGGTATAACATAAACGAGCAGGAACTTGTAGCCGGGCCAAAAGGGTTAATAGGCATGTTTGTGATTGCACTCGTCATCGTGTAAGTATGCATCTTTATTCATTTTTACAAATGAATGGATTTGTATTGACCTTGCTCTCATATCTGTGGTATCCGTGTTCGTCAAGTGTGAAGTAATTTTAATAGAAGTCGGTCTGTTTGTTGTATTGCTGATTGAGTACTTAATTAAAACATTAGCCTATGTTTTGGAGAAGAAGTTAATCAGGGTTATTGTGAAGTTTTGTTATTCAAAACATCAGTAACAAGAGTTACTTTAAACTTGTTTAGTATCACTCACTTTCTTTTCTTAAGCTTTAATATATAGTATTATTCATTGATTGATTTTAAATAGCTTTTTCAGATATCTTGAAGCTGATATTTATCATAATGGCTACTTGTTTCTTGTATTAAAATGATCAATAACAAACAACCACATTTGTTACGCTATATCAAGATCACATTGAAGTATAAATGGCTTCACTTAAGACAGTGTTTGATAATGTTTTGGGGAAGATCCTTGAATAATTGTAGCTCAGGTCAGGTACCAAACCTAGCACATCAGTTTAACATAAACAGATTTATAGGATCCATGGTGAGTCTTAAGGCTTCACTCACTCTTAAGTTATGTAATACATACCAGGACTTGATTATTTGTACCTGTTTCTTAAAGCAAGTTAAAAGTTCTCCATGAAAGCTAATAGAATAATACTTGAAACTGTTGTTCCATGTTTTTCTGTTGTAACAGTATATAAAGAATGACAGTGGTAGTTCCAGACTGATCTGACATAAAAATATGTAATAGCGTCATGTTCAACTACAAACAACATTTTGTGTGTGTCAGATCAATCTGGAACTACCACTGTCATTCTTAACATTCATTCTACTACTGTGTTCTTAACCCCTGTGTGAAAGGGTGGTAGTCAAAGTGCACATGTTGATTTTACAGACTTACATTAAAAATTTAATTAAACAACTTTATTATCAATGTATGTTATAAAGTTCACACCAAAACATATTTTATAATTAAAGTTTTAATTTCAAAAGGAAATATTTAAATAAATTCTCAACTTTCATTTCTCTGTACTGTGTGACACTTTACTGTGAATTGCCCATTTTAGACACTCTTTCCACCCTTATTTGAGCTTCTAAGTTCTAATACAAACTAAACACTTATAGTACAAATATTGCTGAGAAGTAATCAAAATTTATAGCCTCCAGTATTCTTGCTTTACAAAGATATAAAACAGAAAGTCAAACCCACATGTCATGCTCTTCTACCACTTTGTCTTTCAAAAAATGTCAATAATTCTTTCAGAGATTTGTCGTTGGATTATTTATAACCAACAGAAAAAGAAAATTTTTATATACAGACTTTTTTTTTATAAGGCTGGCTCATTTTTATGACAGGTTATGAATTAATTAGCTCATAGTTTGAGTCTTCACTATCGCTGTGTCACCTCGATGAGCCAAAAGATTTATTTCAAACCACTTATAGCTTTATTAGAAAGCCAGATAATTTATAATAGTTATAGAACATTGTATTATTCTTTGTGCATGTTATTATTTTGTGTTCTAAATTGAATATTTGAAATAAATAAGAGTTCAGTAAAGTATTAACCACAACCCTACCAAAAATTAGGATTAACTTTTATTGAGACTGCAAAAAAGTATGAGACCCACATGTAAGTACCCAAGTTTGTTGATTTTTATGTATATTTTTTATTTATTATTATAAAAGTAACGAAAATGTAAAAAGTAGAAACTTAGCTAGGTTAGGTAAGAACATTTAAAGGTAAAAAAAGAAAAAAAACTTACCTAAAGAATATTACTAAGCAAGCCACTTGTGTGTT